GGGGGGGCAGGGGGCAATGGGGCAGCCCCCACAGGTGCAGCACCCAGGTCCTGCCCTCTCTCTCTGCAGATGCTGCCACCATGGAGCCGGAGGAGATGATCTTCTCCGGGGTGGACATGCTGAAGCTGGGTACGGAGAAAGGTGAGTCCAAGCCCCAGGTGGTGGGGGGGTACAGGTCCACCCCCAAGAGCCAGGGCAGCACCAAAGCACTGCTGGGGAGGGGGAGGTTGTGATGGAGACACAGCAAAAGCAGTTTGGGCTTTGGGAAGTCCTAGAGCTGCCTTACTGACACCCTTCTCTTTCTCCCACAACAGCCAAGTAGAAGAGGATGCCAGCAGATGCCTGTGCAGTCTTCAGCATCCCAGCTCCTGTGTTTTATTTTCTTTTGCTCTATTGCATTTCTGCTCTTATATTGCTTTTCCAAGGCACTTAACGGCAGGCACCCCTGCATACCCCTGCCCCTCCGGGCATCAACTGTGACCCTTCCCCTGCTGCAGGGCTGAGCTGCCACCAGGACCAGTGCTAGAGGCAAAGTATTCCCTCAGAGAGATGGTAAAGCAGGCTGGAAAGTGATTTCCACAACATCAGACCCATAAATCCTGTTCCCTTTTGCTCATCGGCAGCCCACAGCACCCAGGCAGCAGCAGAGCTCACCCCTGCTAAAGAACGAGCCATTAATGCTTTCTTACACTGAATGAACATTAAACGCAGCAAAACAACCTCCATCAGCTTCTTAACTGACCCCCATAGGTTGAAGCCCTGTTAGATTGCTACAGTAGAGGGTTTTTATTGTGGGATTGCTCAGCATTGTATAGATGTTCGCCTTCAGCTTCTGCCTTCAGGATGGAGAGCAGCCACAGCAGTGGGTAACAGTGGGCAGAGGAGCTGACCCTGGAGTCACAAAGGGCTTCTAGTTTTTCTGAATATACCTGATAGTTCCTTTATAAATGATCTCATAAGCTAATTATTTCAAATAAACTTTTGAATAAAAAGTCTGATAAGCAACTCTAGCAGGGTAGTGTTTGCAGTTCGCAGCTTTCCTAGGTTAAAAATAAATGAATCTTAAGAAAAAGAGGAAGAAGAAAGAAAATCTCTGCAAAGACACTTGGACATCCATGCCCCCCACCCCAGGATCATACATAATCCATGACCCATTCCTGGTCCACCCTTTGGTCAATGTCCCCAGCGCCCTGGGGTCCCCCTGTACCCCAGCACAGCCCAGGAGGCTGAAGTCACCTTTAAGAGTCACAGCGTGGGGGGAAAGGAGGAGAGCAGCCCCCTGCACCGGGAGCCATCTCCCTCCTGTGTCCGGGTCGCAGCTGGAGAGCTCTGCCCTTGCCAGCAGAGCCTGGAGCCAGGCTGCACAGCACAGGAGGGAGGGAGGAGGGCAAGGGGATCCAGTCCCTTTTTCCCCCCCCCTCACCTAAATGCCAGGGCTGGGAGTGAAGCGAGGAAACCACGCACAAGCCCAGTACAAGGCACAGGGTAGCAGCTGCCAGGGAGGCAGCAGGCTGGGTCTGTGCAGGGGGATGCACAAACCTGCTCTCAGCACCTGCCCCTACACAGCACTTTAGTAATGACAAAAAAAACCCAAACTAATGCTAGAACAACACATGGTTGAAAGCTGAGGAGCAACAGCATATGCTTGTCCTCAGGGAGCAGGCAGAAAGCAATTAATTTTTCCCCAGGGGTTGAAGCAGTGCTTGTGAACCTGGGCAGACCCTGGGCTCTGCTCTCCTACCTGCAACATCCTCCTGAGACAGCTGAGCCCTGCCCCAGGCTCAGCCCCAGCGCCTGCCCTGCCTCCCTCGCCTGGCCTTGGTCACCTCCCTTCCCTTGAAAGCAGCTGAAGCAAAGTCTCACTATTCTGTTTTAATTTTGTATTCCATAAAAAAAATCCACAAAAAATTACACCACCTTGGCTGAGAACAGCTGCTGGACACAGCTGTTCAGTGCAACTCGAGGGACATGGTAATTACTTCCATCAGTGTTAGAATAAAAAGTAAACCCAAGAGCTCTCTTCCATAGTAGCAAAAGGACTGACACCACAAATCACAGAAGAGGAAAGGAAAAAAAAAAAGTAAAAGTTTCTCTTAAAAATATAGCTCTGTGATGAGAAAGAGAAGGATGGCTGAGTGTCAACTAGGAGGAAAGCAGTTTAGGTAAGCTGGCTCTTCTCTGGTCAAACTGCCTCCTTCAGTTCAGTTCTTGTGCAAGAGGCAAACCGTCGGGAGGGGCAATAAACATGTCTCTGGGCCCCAGCTGGGCACGAGGAGGCAGAAGGTTACACTGCTCTGCTCTAAAAGTCACAGTTAAAAGAAGTTATAAATTATTATTTTTTTAAAAAGGTTGGAATTCTCCTGATGAGCTTTCTTTTTCTCTCTTCTGTTTGATCTTCACCATAAATCCTTAATCACAGAGATGCGGTACCTTTGGGGAGAGGAGTTAAAAAAGTTAGGGATGGGGAGGAGGAGAACAGCCTTACAGCTGAGCAGAGCAAGAGCAGAGTCATCTGGTCCACTTCCAGGTGGCTACAACATCACCATCGACTCCACACTACTTCTCCGAGCTCCCTGTGGTCAGCAGCGACAGACAGACACAGGCCGCTTATCTCTGCTGATGACAGAGGACAGCAACATCCAGGCTGGACATCCAGTTCTCAGCAGCTAAAGAGTTGAGGTCAAACACATCCAGAGAAGCCAGCACGCTGCTGCGTAGCTTTCCTTACACCGTTCCACTCCCTGGCCCTCTAATCTAAGGCCAGGCTGACTCAGGGACCATTTAGAGGGCACATTGTCTTCTCAAGACCAGCCCAGGAGTACTGAATTTGGTCAAGGTTACCGCCGTTCAGAGGTACCAACTGATAGTCCCCACAGGCCATGTACCTTCTCACAATCCTTCAGGCTTAGCTGTTTTCTTCTTCTAAAAAGAAAAGGGTGAAAAATAAATCAGTATCATCTGCACCACAAACATGAAGGACCCACAGAGGCTTCTTGGCTACTATCTCTACGAGGACATACCCATTACAAGAAACATCCTATAGTCTGAGTCTCCCTCTGCCCCCCTTCCTTGCCCTTGGGATGGGATGCAGTAGCCTGCCAAGTCCTCAGGAACTCCAGTTTCTGCTGGAAACAACTAGATCAACAGACAGCTGAAGATCACTTACTCCTTGGGCAGGTTCTCTGCCACCAAAAGGAGCCCTGGGTTTGACACTTCCAGGGAAAGGGATCTCTCCTGGGGAAGTGATACAGGAACAAACCTTCAAGCCTCCCCAGTCCCAAACCGACCAAAGGTCAAGGTGTCTCAAGAGTAGCCACAATTAACTGCAGCCTCCTCTGGGCTGCCAGCAAGGCTAGGACACTGCTCCGTTCCTCCCAGCCTGGCATGCTGTAGGGATGAGCATCACAACCGCAGTTCAGAATGGCTCTCCCCACAGTACCCCATCCCAGGGTCTCGCATATACCTTCTTTTTCTTCTTGTGAACCTCAGCAGAGCCATCTGCTGCTACAGGGTCCCCTTCTGAAGAAACCTTTTTGCTCTTCTTCTTTTCTTTTTCAGTCTTTTTTTCTGGGAGAAGGAAATAAAAGTCAGATAAGAAAGGGAGTCTGGTACTGCTAACCTGAGATGGATCAGAGTAGTAGAAGCATCTCCAGTAAGTTTCTGATCATATCCAAACCTGAGCAAGCTTTCCAGAGCAGCAACCAGGTGAGGGAAGAGCCCTCAGGGCAGCTGCACCCAAGGCTGTTTCTCCAGTACCTCTAAGCCAGAGCAGTTTGATCCCACCATCCATGCACATGTGTGGGCAGAATTACACAGGATCCCCTTTCCATCTCCTGCTGCCCACCCACTCCAAGGAACTGTTTCAGCGCTGGAGTAGCTGGGCACATGCCAGCAATCAGAGCAAGGGGAGCTACTAACACAGGACGGACACAAGGTTCCGCTCAGCACAACTGCTCCAAGAAGCTCCAGCTCACCCTTGTGCAACAGCCCACACAAGGGCTCTGTGGAACAGAAACCCCAACAGATCTGGCCCACCCATTCCATCTCCCCTTTTTTTAAAAAAAAATAAAATCCTACAAGATCTAGCCCAGAACCAGCTCTGATTTGCAAATGCAGTCTGCACTGCAAAGAAAAAAAATTGCTTTTGCATTAGGACAGCAGACAGACAGAGCATTAGAGAGGTGTGCAGACAAGAGGGGCAGGAAACACTCTAAGCTGGAAGCAAAGAGCAGGAGGCTGGTACCATCCTCCTCTTCCTCCAGGAGACTGGAAGCAGCAGCAATAGCCCTGAGTCAAATCTCTGGAATGAGCTGCTCGCCATGGTGCAGCACAGACAGTGATGAGGCAGGGTCAGGAAGGGGCAGTGCCACCCCGCGGGGACCAGCAGTGGCTGACACAGCAGATGACAGTGCAGATTGCAAGGCTGATCTCTTTTAGAGGCTGGCAGCAAGGGGCCGTGTTCAGGAAGACCTGTGTAACGCAAAACCCTGCAAACATCAGGGCTGGGCTTCCTCTGGCATGGCCACAGCATGTCAGGGATCTTCTGCCTGCTGTCCCCAGCCACATTTCACCTTAGCTCTCCTCTAGCATGTGCTGTGTTTGCCACAGAGGAGCCAGGGCAGGTGGCTGGGTTAACGGAGCGGCACCACACAGGGCACAGAACACAGGCCTCACGGCTTACAACTAGTGAGAACTCTCCCGAGAGCAGCACAGCTGGGCAGGCCAGGGGAGGAGGGCAAAGAGACCTTGGGAGGGTCAACGCAGATTCACCTCAGCCCTTGGCCAGCCCTCAGCCAGATAGCTGTTTCCAGCCAGGGTACAGGTCAGGAAAGGAGAAAGCCCTGGAGGAACAGGTCATGCTCTAAAAGATGCACAGGGACACCAACTTGCTCTGCAAGCAGCAAGGATTGGTGCGAGTACTAACACAGTTCTCACTGTGCCACACGCAGGACAGAGGGGCAGGAGAGCCCAGCTTGCTGCCTGCAACACAACCTAGTGCTGAGACTGCAGAAAAACAGTCAAGTAGAGTGTTAAAAATCTGGCGTTGGCTTGGGGTGGACCAAGAGGGAAGGAGCCAAGCAGGAAGCTAATGGGAAAGTGGGTGCTACTTACAAGGCCCCGCACCAGAGGCTGAATGTGCATCAGCTGCAAGAACCTATTGCAAATGCAGCCCTAAGTGAGGGATGCTTACTTTTAGTTGATTTTTTCTTTTCCTTGCTGCCTGGCAGCTTCTCCAGGTCACCAGCTGCTTTCTTCTTTTTCTTTTTGGGTACATCTTCATTAGCCTGCCCTTTCCACTTCTTCTCCTTGGGCTGCCCAACAGACACATCCTCTCCTGGAAGTTTCCGCTTCTGAGATGTTTTCTGTTTTTTGTTCTCTTTGTCTTTGCTCTTAGATGTTTTTGCAGCTTTGTCTGCTGTGGAGGAAGCTTTCTTCTTTTCCTTCTTTTCTTTTTTCTCCTTTTTATTCTTCTTCTTCACTTCCAACCCTTCTAATGTTTGCACTGCAGGAACTTTGGCAGCAGTGACCTCGGTGTCGCTCCCCGAGCTTGACCCCTCTGACTGGGGGATGGACGCTGGGGTCACTTGCACCCCTTTTGCCCCAACATCATTCTCTTTCACGGCCAGGGCTTTCTTGACTGGGGAAGGCTTGAGGCTGGCATGACCTGGCTCCATTTTTCCTGTCACCTTCTCTTTGTTGGAGTCTCCTGTGGTTTCCTGCCTTGGAGGAGGGTTGTTTTCTGCAGAAGCAGTGACAAAAGAGATAAGACAACTCACAGAGTGTTCATTACATAGACCACAGAGTTACTGGAGGATGGAAACATGCATCTGAAGAGAAACATCCACTTCTCCCCCCAAGAGCAAAACCTGCTGGTCATCCCAACTACAGCAGAGCCAGAGAAAGATGCCTCAGCCTGAGATCAAGTATCTGGTAAGGGAAGTGGGTGACAACAGCCACAAAAGCTTTGGATGTTTGACCAACAACTTGCCAACAAACCAGGGCAATAGGGAAATGGCAGGACATTTTGTTTCTCCAGAAGTCTTCCCACCTGCTTCCCATCCTCTGCCTTTCAGATATGCTACAGAGCCCAGAAAGGCCATGGGGAGGCTTGAATACCAGCACTGTATAGCAGATGTTCTTCAGCCAGTGTTTAAATCTTCCGTAGAAGCCATCACTACTGCAGCACACCAATGCAGCGTGCATCAGTTTCAGGGAGAGCCCTACCTGCTCCCATTATTAATTATTGCAGTTAAAGCAGAACTTGCAAGAGTTAAAGCCACAAAGCACAGACTCGCAAGCCGGCCAGCACAAGAAGGGCGTTCAAGGAGGAGAGGGCTGTGTCGTGGCCAGGGAAGCCAGCAGACGGCAGCAGCACTCCACGCGACTGGGCGCTGTGGTGCAGACACACTGGGAACAGGGCCCTGTCCCACTGCCACCCTCCCCTGCCAGCAGGGCTTTGCTCCTGGGCCAAGCAGATTCCCGACCATGCCAAAGGAGACCCACCTGCTTTGCGGTTTGCAGCCACCTGGTCGACGTCTGTGTCGGAGTCGCTGCTGTCGCTGCTGTCGCTGTTGGCTGGGGCTGCTTTCACAGAGGCCTTGGCGAGGGAGTTTGCAGCAGTGGTGGCTGCCTTTCCTTGCCCTGCTTTGCCTACAGGCTTGGGGGGAACCGTCTTTGGTGCCTGGGGTGCTGCTGGAGTCTTGGAGATGCCCGGATAGCCTGTGAGGAGAGACTGAAACAGCACAGATACACTGAGGAGTCACAGCAGGGCAGCTTCTCACCCACTAGACAGGCAGATCTGTCTCTGCTACTATTGCCCCCATTCTCCAAGTGAAGGGCCCACCTTTGGCCTCCTGTTGAGTAATCCTGCACCCCTCAGCCAGCCCTGCAGATAAGGCCAGGGCTGCCAGGAGAGGGGGCCAGCACTGACAGACACTGGCTGAGCAGACAGCAGCAAGACCTGATGGCGAGAGGTTCTCCTCTTCGTTCTCGCCCAGTAAAGCGGGTGTGGGGGAGGCTCCTGGCTATTAGCATGCACCCAAGCACAGCTAATGCACTGCAGATGTGCTGCACGCCCTGCACGTTACTTACAAAGGGAATTTAATGGCTTGGACACGGGTTAAGTTACAAATAAAAGTGGGGAAAAAAAAAAGTCCTGCTGCTCTTGGCACTGTGCATCCGTTCTCCTGGTTTAACCCTTGCAAGGCACCATCTCCTCCCATCCCTTCCCCTGGGGAAAGCACCACAAGCCCTGGACCCAAGGCCTGGCTGCCTTGGGGAGCATTCCAGGTTCAAAAGCCTCTCTCTGCCCCCACCAGAAGGCCCTGCTCTCACAGCACTGCACTGGGGAGCCCCCACTTCTGTGCTGGCAAACCCACTTAGCACCCTGTTTGCTATGGCTGAGAAATCAATCCTCTGTCCTATTTAGGAGCCAGTTGCAAGGCCCGAGAGGATCCCAGCCTGCTCAGTACTGTACCTGTGATGCTGCCTCCTCCTCACTGGACTCTGAGGAGGAGCTGTGGGCTGGCTGGGTCCCTCCTGGTTTCTGCACCAAGCCTGCTGGAAGAGCAGAGATTCATCCCATTAAACTCACCACTGCTGCCTGGGGCTGAGCTCACCTACTCAGGTCAAAAGGCCTCCAAAGAAAGGGGAGCGCTCTGCCAAGCTGGAGAGGAGGAACCCTGCTCCAACCACCATGTGAAGGTGACACAGCTCCCATGGGGTAACAAAACACTGTCCCCTCCCTGGCCTGGCCAGCAGCACTGAGAGCATCTTCTTGGGAGAACTGACCAGGTTTGGGGGGCTGCTTGGGTGCCTCCTCCTCGCTGCTGTCCGAGGAGATGCTACTGTCCGAGTCCTTCGCTGCCGGGGCGGGCGGGGCAGCCTGGCTCAGCCGGGTGTCCTGCGCTGGCTGCAGGTCTGGCTTCTTCAACTTGGCAGAGGGATTCACCAGGACCGAAGCAGCTGGTGGGGCAGCAGTGTTGGTTGGAGGAGCTTTTCCCACAGGAACCGTTTGCTTTAGGCAAGGAGCAGTGGGAGCCTAGGGAGAGGAAGATGAAATGCATCGGGAAAGAGAAATAACTGCTGATGCCTGTGAACTGTAACAAGTAGCCCAGAGCAGATGGGCTTGGACCACCTTGGCCCTTCTTCAGCCATACTGCTCCAGTTTGTGTCACGGTTAGCCCAAGAACCTCTCGTGGAGGGCAGAGACCCCACCTCACCCTCGCCCATAGATGAAGCAGGCAGCTGTGGCCAGGCAGACAACTCCTGACCATACAGGGCACTGCTATTGCAAGAGGAGGAAGAAACCAGCCAACCAGCTGGGAGGCAGCAACAGCAAAGGTACCAGAGCTACCCTCTGCTCACCTGCCTCACCCCATGGCATTATACCAGTGGTTAAAATAGAGCAGCCCCTCTCTCCCTCCTCCACAAACATGCTCCCTCAGCCGGGGACACAGCACCAGCCTCAGACTCCGTCTACCTGCTCTCCCCAGGGAAGCTCCCCACTTTAGTCTCCTCCGTCATTATCTCTCCCGCCAGCACGTCATGCTCCGAGGACTGGCTGCCTGAGCAATCAGACACTCTGCTAACTGGAGGGACAGCAGGCGCTTTTATCCCCCTCCCCAAAGGCTGTGTGGCATTAGCCTTGGCAGCCCCTGCACTCAAAACCTTGGTTGCTTTGACATTCTGCTGGGACAGACTCTAAAATAGATGAGAAAGAAAATCAGGACAGAGCACACCTCGGAGGGAAAAGAGGCAGAAGCACCGACCCACCACTAACTCCTGAGCCCTTCCATTATTTTCAGCACAGCACCAAGGCTTATGTTTTTTTTTTTTTTTTTTTTTTTTTTTTTTTTTTTTTTTTTTTTCCCCTTTACTGGCCACCTGTCTTCTATGAGCCTCTAGCACAGCCAGGAGCAGAGAAGTGAGGGACTGCCTAAAGCATTACCTCAGTGCCCCAAAGGCACCCATCCTGAGAGCAGGCAGGCAAAATGCGATGTGCTTGTAGGCTGTGAGATCCCTACCCACTGCAGCACCAGTAACACTGCAATTCCAAACCCTACTTTTTGCAAAGTGGACACTTGGACTCCAGGATGCCTCCTACACTCTAAAAATCATACAAAGAGTTAACTGGCAACAGAGATAAAGCAAAGACACCAACCACAGGGCAAATCTGCCTTCAGGTCCGCAGGCAAGCCACAGATTTGAGAACAAATTAACAAGAAACAATTTTGTTGCCTCACATTTGAAATCTCCCATCAATCTAAATGTAAGAGGGGTTAAAAATAGAAGAGCCAGGGGCATGGAAATCAGACACTGACATCAGGTCTAAGACACAAATGCCAGCAGAGGAGGGAGCAGAAGCAACGAAGGAGTGCTCAGCCTCCTGGTTTGTGTTACAAACGAGGCTATGTGAGCAGCCCTCCCTCTCCAGATCTCTGACAAGTTGGGCCTTTGTGGGCTGACATTTCCCTCACATAACATCTGGCCTTCAGAAAGGAAAGCAAGGCTCCACCATGCAGAGAGCCGCCAATCCAATGTGAGCTCTCAGCCGTCTTTGCACAAAGCTCAAGTTACAGCAACTGCATTATTTTATAGAATCTTGGTTCTATAAACATGCTTTAATCAAGGACTGCTCAGGCTGGCTGCCTGCCCACCAGCTGGAGGGGACAGCCTTTCCACTGGCCACAGCCTCAGGCCAATTTGGGGAAGGGTTTCCTTGAGTGCACATAATCCCCCTCTCTGAGGAAGGGCACTGGCCAGAGAGGGGACGTGCATGTGCAGGACAAGAAGCACACTTGGCCACTAAGCCCTGGGCTCAGAGCACCAGCCAAGCCACCATCACATAGGAACAGTAGACGTGTTCCTCTCAGTCAATGCTTCTTCACGTGGTTTGTTCCTCAGGCTCAAACCACAGCCGAGGTGCAGAGACACCTAAGACAGCTTTGCAGCGAGGCAGCTCAGGCCCTAGGGAGCTCAGCCACGGCCCCACGAGACACAACATGAGGAGACTTGGGTGAGAGCTGGGATTAGCAAAATGACATTTGGCAGTGCCCTGAGCACAGATATGGGGTCACCTCCCTTCTCCAAGGCATGAGTTTGGCTCCTCCAGCTGAAAAGCAGAAGGACCACTGTGCTACCCTTTAGGGCAGATCCTTCCAGCCTAATCAGGCTTGTGGAGGGGGAGTCCAGAGAGCTCCAGCTGCACCCCACACCCAGGGGTTTGGGAGGAACCACAGGGGCAGGCTGCCTTAGAGATACCCAGCTCATGGAAAGACTCTGCTGCAAGGATTTGACTGCTTTTCCAGTCTAACTCCCTGGAGCAGGGCAAAAGGGACAGAGTCCCAGAGGAGGTCTGGGCTCGTGCATCTACTCATGTTCCTGCCAAAACATTTACACCCTCCACTGCTCTCACACACTGCAAGCTTGCTGCGGCCGACACATGCACCCAGAGCCAGGGTCAGCGAGACCCAGGGATGTTGCAAAGAAAACCTGATCCAGCCAACAGGAGAGCTCCTTTCTGCATCACTCATCAGCCACCCCCAACTACCACCTTGCAAGTCCTGAGATCTCTGGAGCGTGCAGGACTGAGCATCCACACCCACAGGGTCAGTGGCTCCTTACCTGAGAAGGGGGGACTATTTCCTCCTCAGAATCAGACTCCTCACTGGAATCATCACTGCTGTCCACATCTGGAGGGGCTGGTGCTGGACCTGGAGCCTTCTTCACATTTATTGGCTGGGGCACAGTATTGGTTTTTACTGCAGCAAAAGCATAAGAGAAATGAGAAAGATTTCACCATGGGAGAGGTGCTCTCTGTGGGTGCCCAGAGCAGGAGCTATCACAACAGGCTGGGCCATTCCATGTGCAAAGAGGAGAAGGAAATCCATGAGTATGAAGGTGAGAGATCCTGGCCACTACCAGTAGACTTACCAGCTTGTGAAGGCTGTGTCTGTGCCGCAGGGGACTCCTCTTCACTGTCAGACGAGTCACTGCTCCCACTTTCTGAAGCCTGGCTTTTCAAGGTGCTTCCCACTGCTTTTTGAGGCGGCCCAGCTTTAGCAGCTTGGCTCAGGTTGGAAACAGGCCCAGGCTGTTCTGTTAATCTCTTAACAAAAAAGAAATGCAGGCCCAGAAATGTGGTATTAGTACAGGTGTTGTTTAGGAGTTTAAGTGCAGTTTCAGCTCAAGCTGGGTTTTGTTTTACCCTAACACAGCTGTTACTAAGACTCACTTCATCCTTGGCGTGTCAAGACTGGAAGGGGATGCAGTTACTGCCCGGACTGAGCTGCTCAAGACACGTACCACTGCATTTAGCAACATGCTTTTGACAGGAAGCCCAAGTGTGTTTTACCACACAAGCATGCAGGGCTAACAGTGCTCAAACTCGTAACAGCAATTCCTTATTGAGGCCGAGACACTGGCTGGACAGGAGCCTGAGGGCAGGAGAAGCACGGCAAGCCTGAGACCCCCGTGCCAAGAAAGCCTCTCATTTAAGCATGACCTCCCCCCAGCCTGGGGAATCAGCAGGAGCTGGGAAGTGTGCCAAAACACTTGCAAAATTCAGAGACAGTATCAGAGCAGTTACATCCTAGAGCTGCTGGAGAGCTCAATGTAGACACAAGGGCTGTCACAAGTGTTTGGGAACACAGAGGGCAGGCAGAGACAGACCACGACCTGCCTTACACACTCATCTGTCAACAGGTCTAAGAATTTAGAAATCACCAGACAACAGAAAAACCCTGTAACTCACTTGGGCTGTGCCTTTCTACAGCACCCGTCAACACTCTGATGTCCCAGGACAGGCCATGAGCCACTGACCCAAGCAACTGGTGATGTCAGGACTAGGAAGCCACAGTTATTGCAGCACCAGACACACAACTGCCAGGCGAGATGATCTCTTCCTGGCCCCTCTTCGGACCTCGGCTGGGGGTTGCAGACTCCCCTCCTGCCCACTGCTGAAGGCTAGTGGTGGCACAGGGAGAGGAAGCGCTTGCTGAGAGATCTGGTAACTTCACCACCTGCAGATATTCTCCAGGCTCAGTGCTCTGCGCCCACTCAGTTTACTCCACTCATCGCTCATCTCCGGGCTGCACTGCCAAAGAGTACATCATGCTTGCCAGGGCGGGCAGACCCCATCCAAGCCGCACGTGACAGCAGCCCGCTTCAGCGCTCTGTCTCCAGGCCTCCCACCAGAAGGTGAGAGAGACTACTGCCCGGCTGCAGAGCCCCTGCCAGCCCCCTCTCCCAACCCTGACAGGCTGGTAACACAGCGATACCCTCTTGGCCTGCAGCAGAGGACCAGGACCACTTCAACAGTGCTGCCTCACCCAGGGGCTGCTCCTGGCTCGCAGCCGAGAGCACCAGCCTAGCAGCCTTGGGGAGGATGGATCTTATGGTGCTTCCTGGCACAGCCCCACTGAGGGCTGCCACTGGGGCAGTGTTTATCATCTCCAAGCCAAACACTAAACAGACAACAGCATCTGCATGTTTATCCCATCACAGAACAGCTCTCTGAACAAGCCAAGCACATTTTGACTCTGCTTAGAGAAACAGAAACCTCCACAAGCGCTTTGGGAGAGGGGGATTGCAAACCTCACTTGTCTGTTTTGATACCAGTGAGTCATTATCTCCAGGAGAGAGGCCAGATTTGCAACGCTGAAGAAAGAACTACTTGAAGCAGACGCAAGAATTCACACGCTCTACTTGAATGCACTTGCTCCTCTCCCTCTTGTCCCAAGCACTGCTGTGCAAGGAAGAGTCTACCACGACCAGACCCCCACTACTCTTGAGACCTTCATAGCAACGGGAGTGGCTTCTCCCTCTGCTTGGATACACGGCACAAGGGCTGCTTCATTTCCTAATGCGGCAAGATATTGGGAAAGAGCTGCCGTACAGAGGCAGCCTGACACAGAAGGAATGTAACAACATCACAGAGAAACCAACGTAAGCTTTACACAGCCTCGGGACTCCTCAGATCTTCCTGGGAGGAGGCCAAGGTCCCTCCATCCACCTCATCTTTGTCACTGCCAGATGGCTGACAGCTGCCATGTCCTATGGCACGGCCCTGGGTGGGATTGAGTCAGCAGCGTGACTGAGTTACACCCAGGGAGCAGGGTAACGCAGGCAGAGAGATCCTGACAACTTAAGAATCACAGGTAACGAAGTAACTCAGAGAGGAGAAAAATCATTCAGGAGGAAATCATTTTTCCTGCTCTCTCTCCAGCCCCCAAACCAGGAGCTGCCTGTGGCTCAGTACGAGTGTGATGACTCAGCTCCCGCACAACCCATCTGCCACTCTGCTGGGTCCATTTGCATCATGCAGCGCTGCATGACAAGAGGGGGAAACAACACCGAGCCACGTGCGCTCAGCACGTTGTAACCATCACACTTCAGTGCTGCCTGTGCACTGTGGAAGCACTGTTAAGAGACATTAAGTCATTTAGCTTAGCTAAGTAAGTTTTAAACGGAGTCACTTAAGAGTTATAACGTTGCGTGTGCGATTTCGTACACTGTCTGCTTAGCTTCACTCACTTCACATGAGTAGCTAGATTTGCTAAAGTCTTAGGCCACAAGCTGTAAACTTTCACCCAGATTTACTGAACTTCGACCGAACTTGTACCTACTCAAGCAAAGCAAAGCCTCCAGCGCAAACCAGAAGATGAGGGTTAAGAAGCACCAACAGCAGCTGCAACCAGACAGAGACCTGCCTGGAGACAGTGAAGAAATCCAAAGAGGAGTCAGAAGGTGTCAGAAGATCTCAGGCCATAATCGCCGCTGGACCAAAGGGCATGTGAAAGGCACGTGGAGATCGCATGAAGGGGGATGCACGGTGTGTAAGGGTATAATTGCCCAGGGATTTCTTTGTTTAGGGTCCCTCTCTGGAGGAACCCAGCTTGAGTTGATTCTGGTGCTGTACCACTTAAATAAATTTTTTATTTTTCTAAGATTCAATGTCTGAGACTCCTCTTCTGGAAACCTAGGGTTTGAACTGTGAAGAGAACTTTTTTAACAAGCACCATCAATGTTTCAGGACTGGGACCAGTTATCTCAGCTGTATCACGACACAGCAAAGGTACAACTGGAACCTGCAAGGGAACAGGAACAGGGTTCAGGGAGGGAAAGAGATCCTCTCTCCATCTCTTGGGAGATTTGGCCTCTCCCCACAGGGTCTGTGGTCCAAGATAAAAACTTGCAGGCACAGCTTCCACCAGTGCAGCCAGCACAGGTTTTCCTGGGATGCTCAAGGAAGACACAGGTTCCCAACACACAACTGCATGAGCATCTGGCACCCAGTTCTGGTAAGCAGAAGCCAAAGCCTGTCCACAGAGGGCTCACATGTCATCTTTGCCCAAAACATCCGGGAAAGAGGAAGCAGAGCAGAATTTGCAGTTCCAAAGAAAAGCAGCTCACAGCATCTTTAAGGTCAGTCCAGACTGTCCCCCACCACCATCCTTCCCCCCCAAAATATGCAAACACCTTGTCAATTTCTTTGACTAAATATTCCTGAGTCTTCAGGGGTAAACATACCAATTAAGCAGTTCAATTTAGGCATGATGTTCATTTTAATTGTGCTAATCCACCCCCACAGGGAAAGATGAAGCAGCTTCCAACGCTCTGTATCTGTTTGGATCTTGCACAGAAGCCAGAGGAAGTTGCAGGATACAGTAAGTCAGTAGTTAGCATATGCCCAAGTAGCAGATGGCGAGGATGAGTTAAGAAGAGTTTGACTGGGAGGACAGGACTCTGGACACAGCTAAGCCTTATCTTCAGGCTTTGCTCACGGTCCCTGCCTGTAGGCTACTAACAAGGGAAGAAACAGACTGTTTGGCAAAAATTGAGCTCCCTCGATGACAAGCTCTTCCTTGCTGACTGGCTGTTGAGGGGTAATTGCCTGTTTGCAAGAGGGAAGATGCTGAAGTGATTAAATAGCCATCAACAAGATGGCTACCCGCTGCTGTCAGCTTCAAATCAACACTGGGGGGAAAACAAGCCTACCCCAGCGTGTCCTTCACCTACAACCCTGCTAGAATGGGCAATCTTGATAGTCTTACAGCAGGACCCCATGGCACAGCTATCAGAGTAGCTGCTCCTGCCACCCAGTGCTGAATCTTCACATATAATCACGCAGGAAGAGAGCAGCACAGAGCCAACTGTTAGAGATGCATCCCCCTCCACCCACCCTAGCAGACCAAGGCTATAAAGACAAAAATGCAGAGCCTCTCCGGCTCCTGCCTGTCAATAATGAAAGGACGTGTTGACAAAGAGCCTCCTTGCAAGGACACGTGAGGCTCTGCCCCCGGCTTCCCTTCCTCCCTTGCAGATAATCACTGCCATCTCCAAAACGTTGCTTTCAGGGCACTTCCCAAAGGGCCCTGCAGCTCAGCATCAATGCAGAAGGTCTCTGCACAATGTGCCTAAGGATGCTCTCAGGAAGGGATTTGTTTCCTTACAAGTTCAGCCACCTAAGTCTGGGTCCAGTATGAGTTCATGGTCCTTCTGTCAAGAGAGACCTACACAAACCCTCACAGGAGAGCCAAGACCAAGCTATCTGTGTCCCCACACACAAGGCCCACTCCGGAGGGGCAAGGCATGAGTGAAGTGAATCAGCTGGTATCAAATACATTACCCCTCACACTCCTCTGGTATGGCTGGGTGAGAACAGTTAGGCTACACTTGTTGCCAAGCAGAAAGATCTTCCTTCTCTGAGGAACTAAGATACAGTATACTACATGCTACTGGTGTTTCCGGGAGATCGATAGTAGCATTTAAGGGCTAAACAACTGTCTTACCTATCCCATCCCTTCGCACTGAGCTGAATGCAGTATCACCTACCTTCTGGCTGATAGGCACAGGGAGATCCTCCTCTTCACTGCCTGAGGAGTCAGAGCTCTCCACTGGCTTTGCACTTTCAGCAGGCTTCGTGGGAGCAGCAGTCCTTCCCAGTGTGCTTTTGGCCTGCTTTGGCACTGCTGATTTTGGTGCTGGCTTCCCCTGGGGCAGTGGAAGTGTTTTTCCTGAAGCTGCTCTGCCAGACAGTGATGCTGCTGGTGGAGGTTTCACTGTGCATGGGACGGCCTGGGAGGATTTTGGTGGTGCCTTTGTCTGGACAAGACAAGAACAGCATGAAACAAGGCAAATCCCACAGCAGCATAATTCATTTGCTCGGACTGTAGTCAAGGGAGGAGATTTCAGAGCCCCCTGGGAAAGGTAAATGCTGAAGGAAGATTAGCAACTGGCAGGACACAAGGCATTCTCTCATTTAATTGTACAGGGATAGTCTCCCAAGATGAGAAAGCTGATACTACCAGTCCCCTCCTGTGAGGTACACTGCAGCACTTTGCACTCTCCACAGCAGGGGAGCTAAGCTGCACTACAGTTCAACAAATTAAAACACTATTTATTGCTATTTATAGCAGAGAGGCAAATTCAACCATTGCAATTTGCTTCTTCAGGTGGGAAAAGAATTGCTGGGGATTTTTTATTTAAGAGTACCGATAGTTTTTTTTCTGGGTTTGTTTGTTTTGGGGTTTTTGTTGTTGTTGTGGTTGTTGAAGAAAGGTACAATTGCTTGATTAAAGCTCAGAGAAAAAGATATGAGGTGCCTTTAAATATCTATCCTGGTTTTAGCTGGGATAGAGTTAATTTTTCTTCCTATTAGCTAGAATAGTGCTGTGTTTTGGATTCAGTATGGAATTTGGTATGAGAAGAATGATGATAATACACTGATGGTTTCAGTTGTTGTTACAAGATCAAGGACTCTCCAACTCCCACGTCCTGCCCATGCACAGGTGTACAAGAAGCTGGGAGGTAGCACAGCCAAAACAATGGACATAAATTAGCCAATGAAATATTCCGTACCATGTAATACGATGCTTGGTATATAAAAGAGGAGCAGCCAGGAAGGAGGGAGTTCTCCCTCTCTTCTGGGATTGTGATTGTGGGATCCTGGTATTTCAGGATTGCTAGCTGGGAACAGGCTGGCTATCAGTCAGCAGGTGGCAATCAATCGCATTGTGCATTAACCATTTGTACTTTCTATTATTGTTAGTTTTATTTTATTATAATTACTCATCTGCTTGCTTTTATCTCAACCTACAATCTCCCTTTACCCCTCCAATTTTTAGCCCCCAGCCCCCAGGCAGGGGGAGGGTAAATGAGCAGCTTCGTGGTGTTTGGCTACCAACCATGTTTAAACCACAACAAATCTTTCCTTCCACCCCCAGCATGACTCTGTTACACGCTACATGCATTTATAAAGTTTTCTTTTCACTGCGATTCCTAGCCCTAGAGAGGCGTGCAAGGGGAGACACGGTCTCAGATAGACACACCTGGGTTACTGATGGAGTCTCCTCATCTTCGCTGTCTGATGAGTCGCTGCTCTCTGAGGTGTCATCAGGCTTTGCAGCCCCAGGAACTGTTGTGGATGGGGGTTTGGCCTGGTTTGGTGGCAGTGCTGTTTGCCTCACTGCATTCTTCTTGAGGGACACTGTAGCAGCAGGTGCACTTTTCACAGGTGCTGCATTAACCTGCACTGTTTTCACAGCTGGTTTTGCCTGGGAATAGGAGAATCAAGTAACATCTCAGAAGCAACCAGCCAAGAACTGCAACTGCATGGAATCTGTTTTAAAGAAAGCTACCTTGCTAACTTTGACCAGTACAGGCTTGTTCAGACCCATGGGCTGTTGAGTATCTGAAGCAAGTCACCTTCTCCACAGACTGCCTGACTACACCTGTGGAGTTGCACACCCATCACCTCTTACAGATCAAAGGGTCTCCCTCAACTTCAGACACTAGGAGGAACAGGGATGGAATGGTTGATGCTGGCTGGGGTTAGCAGGACTCTCAGCCACACAATGTGTTTCTCTGGCCTTGGGTTTGGGGATCTTGCATACCCAGGGATAGGGGTGTTGTCAGACTATAGCACTGCAGCTTTTCCTCTCTCCTTCAAGGGAACTGATTTCCTAGAAAAGACCCTGGGTTGGAGAAGTTACCTGGACCACTGGAGTTGCAAGCTCCTCCTCCTCCTCAGAGGATGTCTCATCACTTGATTCCTCACTGCTGCTCTCAGAAGCCCCAGCTGCCTGCTTTGTCTCTGAAACACAAGCAAGGAAATGTCACAGCTGCTGCCCCGAGCTCCCAGAGCATGATGCTAATGCAGCTTTTGAAGTAAGGAAAATAAAACAAGCTGCAGGCCAAGGGGATTTGCAGGGAAGAGGGCCTAGCCCTCCTGAAAGCATCAGTGGCCTGGCTGGGCATGGCTTCTCCAAACGTTGGCCCACAGACACCACTGCCCTGAGTGCAAGAAGAGATGGGAAATCCTTGGAGCTGCCCAGTCACACACAGCTCCCTGCAGGAGCACCCAGCCTGGCTGGGCCTCCTCTGGAAAAGAGCCAAGAGAAGGACCATTTACAGAGCTTCAATGATCTATTCCTCACCACACACCCTCCCACCAAACACACATACTTCAAAGCAGTAAAAGATTTCCCTAAAGACTTCAAAACCCCAAAACAATCACTTTGCAATTAGGAATAAAGAGAAGATGCTGCAGTGCCTTTCCAAAAAGCTGAAAGCATCTGCAGTATTAGTTCTGCATCTCCTCCAGATATGCTACGCTGTTATCTCCAACCCCGTAGTGCTGGGTGCTGCTAGACAGACATCTTAGCACAGAATCTGCTGCTTGAAACGGGAGCAAGCATGCTGGATTCATCCCACAGAGCTCCAGAGATGGCTCTATTGCAGTATTCTTTCAGCCTCCCCAAAGTACAAGCATCCCTCTGAGCTTTCCAGCAAGGGAGCCGAAATAAACAGACTGAAGGCAGAGTTCACCTCCGATTCCAGCGAAGCTGGAGCACACATGTATTTACCACACCCCACAGGCTCCTTACCCACTTGGGGGGCTGTGGTTTTCGCAGTCGGCGTCTCTTTTTCCTCCTCACTCTCTGATGAGGAGCTGCTGCTGGAGCTTTCCGGTACTTTGGTCGTTACTGGTGCTTTGCTTTGACCTACTTTGGGCACAGCTGTCGCGGCAGGTCCGGGCTTTCCAGGACTGGGCACTTTCTGCCCAGCCTTGGCTGGAGCTGCAGATGCAGCTGGTGCACTGGGCTGCTGCTTATTTGAAACCACAGTTCTGTTTGCAGCAGAGAGCGTCACCGCTTTGTCCGCTGGGGCAGTGGGTTTGTTAGGAGAATGCAGGGAGTTGGCAGCTTTGCCGCTCACCACAGCTGGTGTCACCTACAGGAAGGAAAATACGTTAGAAGTTTATACACAGATGAGGGGCTAAATTGGACAGAACGTATGTTAAACAGCAATCTGGCAGCCAGGCAAGCCATAGAGCTCTTTAGGGAAGCACCTGGGTGACAGATATCTAAGAGAAGGCTTATGCCAGCACAGGAGGGTGATTTAAATACAAATTCCACCCCAGTCCACAATTCTACACATGCCAACAAGTCTGGGACAGTCCTGGCCTCAGAGTACTATCAGCCTTCAAAGCCGAGAGAAGAATTGCCTTACCGTAACTGCACCTTTTCCAGCTGGTGTGTCCTCTTCTGATGAGGAGTCATCATCTTCACTGCTTTCTACATTCACCCCTGAGTTTGTGGCCAGGGAAACGCTGGCTGCTGCACAGGAGAGAGCCACAGAGAAATCACATGAGTGCGTTTCTCACATCAAGGTGGCCTCTGGCTTGCAGGAAGTCCCCAGCAGGCAGGGCAGGGTCCCATCTCCACACCTGCCCCAACACCACTGCCACTGTCTTCATGACAGGAAAGTGGTTTGTTCCTCCACCCCATCCTTCTCCCCACCACCGAGACAAGGAACCTGCCAAGATCTGCACGGTTCCACAGGCTGGTCTACAGCAGATGAGACTGAGCCAAAACGGATCAGACACATGGGTTTTTGTTAGACTGTGCAAGCCAACGCCTCCCACATCAGCTGCACCAGGGATCGATGCCCACCTCAGACAGAGGGCAGTGGCTTTCCAGACCAACTAACAAGTCCTTCCTTCATCCGTGGCTCAGGCCTGCCTTTGCTGGCCCAACACACACCTGGGACCAACTAGAAGGTGCTCCACAGTGGGCAGTGTTAGGTTCCCAAGGCTTCATCCAAGCAACAACACATCCCTCCCCAATGAATCATAACAGGTTTTTTCTAGCTTCAGCAGACATCTGTGCTCCTCAGAAACTTCACATGAGAAGGGGGTGCTAAATTAGTTGTCCTATTTTTCTAAGAGCACGAGGGACTAGCCATCACTTTACAAGAATTTTCTCTAGCCAAGCAAGTTGGGCTGCTCCTACACAAGCTTCCAGTCCTACTCTGCCAACTCCAGGGAGATGAAAGGCTCCTACCATTTGCAGCTTTTGCCTTCTCTTTCTCATCCTCTTCTTTCTCTGAGCTCTCAGAACTGCTCACGGGATCAGGAACTCTGATCTTTTCTGGGATGGCTGCCTCCTCATCACTCACCTTTCTTCTCCTGGAATTTGAGGGAGTTCTGAGGGAACAGAATTTGTGTCAAAATGGTGAAAAAAATCTTGAACAAATTGGAACACAATTATTCATTCACTCTTAGGTCAGGCTCCAGCCTAAGGACACAAAGTGTCATTCCTCCACAGCTCCTAAGGGAGAAATACTTCTCTAGCCTGCAAGGGACACCTCCAGTCCTCCTCAAGCAACTCCTGAGGGCAACATATCCCTGCAATACTAAGAGGAGATACCTAACACAGACATTTTTTGTGTCCTAGGCAGACTCCTTTTCACTTTAGCAGAGAAGGAAAAACTTAAGAGTCAGGCTGGTGCTCACCACAGAGCAAAGGCATCCTACAGAACTAATTCAGCCTCCAGGAGACAGCCAGTCAGTGAGTGCACCCCCAGGGCTGTGATGCCCCAAAAGGCCTTCGTATTCCACAACACCAGGAGAAGCAAATCTAAAGGCTGAAAAAGCCATTTGAACTTGGGCTCACAGGCCAAAAGAACAGAATAATCAGGTTGCAGAGAGATTTGAGAAAGGAAGCGGCTGGAACTACAGAAAACATGTTCAAAGAAAGGAAGAAAAGGCCACAGATGAGCATTAAACACCTAAGCTGTTCAACTGGGTTAAAACATTAAGCTGGATAAAGATGTTTCCAGGCGCTGAATCCTACCTGTACCATCAGAACAGACGTGGCTAAAGCTATCATTAATTTTCAAATGAAAACACAGGCAATACATTTGCTCTATTACGAGGATAACACTGACTGGGCACATGTCTGTGTGTGATTCACACATGCAGTACTTCCAAGTTGGTAAAAGCCCTGAGACACCCACAATTATCAGAGGTGAAAAACCCCCTTGCTTTTGTGCCAGTTTAGCTTATTTTATTTGTTCATCTAATTTAAAAATAAAGTTAGTTTAATGATCTTGCCAGTAAAGACTGTGCTTATTATGAGTGTTTCAGTAGCATAGCTGTAACGGCAAGTTTTTTGCAAGCAGGCTTGGCTGAAGGCACATCTGCTATTACAAAGTACCATGAACTACCGTAATAATCCCTTTAATAAAATAATAGGGCACAGCACACAGGCAGCTATGACACTCCAGCGCCTTCCTGACCCAGTGGCACAACAGAGCCTGCTGTGAAAATCTGTCCTGAGTGACCAGGAGCTCAGGAATACTGTGTGGGGGAAAACAGTGATGCCCTAGAGCATTCCAGAGCATCTGAGGGCTGCAAGGCTCTGGGTGCTCCTGGGGCTGAGCTGGTCCAGACTCCCCCTGCACTCAGGCACCCTTTCACCTGCTCCCAGCTTCCTCAGAGGCTACACATAACCCTGGAGGGAGGTTACTCTTAAGTAACTGCAAAAAAAAAAGTTTCACTTTGTAAGAATTTCTGAAGGACAGCAGCAAGGATGGCCCCAGTTAGATGGGCAAAAGCTGCAGCACAGTCAGAGGAAAGGCATTTTCAAGCCAAAAGCCAACAGAGCAACAATACGCAAGAATCACAGCTCACCCACATAAGAGCACTCCAGCTAGGCAGGGTACTTTCTTGATAAACAAAACTACTGGTCACTACCTCCCTCATTGTGACTCCAAACTCAGGGTGATCAGGAATAAAAGGCGTACTTGTGGGATGGGACCACAACAGAAGGGTGATGCTGCAAAAAAAGGAATTAAACATGATGCAAGTGCCCTGTCACCTCCCCAGATTTAAAAGCAGTAGCGTGTGGAAGGGTTTGCTGTAACACTCAGAACTAGCACAGCCAAAGGTGACTATCAATACTTAAGAGAGCAACAAATTGTTCAAGGGAGGAACTGCAAACCTGTTTCTCCACTGCTACATCCTCACCTAGATCCAGTCTTTCTCCTGCTCAAGTAAGAAAATCACAGAGACCCAAGAGCAACAACTGGGTAGCACCAAGGCATGAGGTTTCCTGGCAGAAGACACCTTTGACGCAAACATCCACTTCCTGAGGCTGCTGACACGGCCATGCCCTCACTCCAACGCTCCTCAACGCAGGCACAGAAGCCCGGCTCCACCAATTCCCCAATAACCCGGCTCTGCAGCTGCCATCAGGCCTCTCTGCAGCCTCGTGCTCCAGCATCGCGACCCAGCAAGCGGTGCACAGGGTGGGTGCAAATGTCATCACACCCCACAGACAGGAAGGCTTCATGCTGCAGACCTGCACGTGGGGTACTCAGTGAAATGACTACGTGGGAAGGCGTCAGGCTGAACATGTAAGGGCTTGAAAGGACAGGCTGAAACTGAGAGACTTCCTCTGAGTCAGAAGATATGTGATCTATGCCAAGGTTTAAGTCCCTGTAAGAGCCTTGGCATTTCAGCATCTGCTCAAATTCTCTGTTCTTGGGTCAAGACTCTTGCAAAGCACGTGGCTTTAAAAAGAAAGTGAAACAGAACTGTAGAAAATATTTTTGCCAGTAAAGCATGACTCTGAGCCGGTACTCCACTCAGTACTCTGGTATTAACCCCAACCAGAAGAACAGATTCAGCTGCTCAAAACTACAGTGACAACTTCTCTCCAAGCTCAGGAAATTTTAAACCAAAGTAATCCTCAACATCTGAAACGAATCTGCCTGAAACCAGAGGCTAGGAAGAAAGTCTGCTGAGCAGCTATCATCGGAAATACTCTGACAACGGGAAATTCCAGCAAATAAAGATCACACGTGCCACACAGCCTGGATGTTAACACGGTCTGGAATCTATTTGACAGTCATTTCACCCTTCAACTTACTTTTCCCAGTGGGTGAAGATGTCCTCGAGAGAGGCCGAGAGGGAAGGGAGCAACTTCTGTGAAAGCAGAAGAAACACAATTCAGGATTCAGCTCCGTTTCAGGATGCGACCACCAGACAGGAGCAGAGACTGCAGAGGCCCCTCCAGGGATCCCCAGGAAAACGGGAACGTCTCCTCCCTGCAGACGCACCTCCCAGTCGAGCCCCCAGCTCCCCGCCGGCGGCCGTCCCGCTGCATCCGGGGCCGCGTCCTCTCCTCGGCGGCACCGGCGGGACTTCACCCGCAGCAGCGCCTGTTCGGAGAGCAGCTGGTCCCCCGCTACGGGCCGACTTTACCCGAGTCTCTGCCGTGTCTCAGCCCCTCTCCCCGGCTAGCTAGAGGCTGGGGCAGCCCCCGGACACAGTGGAGGGGACTCACTCGGGGCCGGGCCAGCACGTGGGTCCAGCGCGGAGCTACGGCCCTGCGTGGAGTCACGGGCCCAAGGAGGGCCCAGGTGGGCGGATCGGGCCCAGGTGGGCGGTTC